AAAACGATTTGAGTCCTAACGTTGAATAATGAAGCACTAACAAAGCACTAACGATCTACAAAATTTAATGCAAATTGGAGCCATTGTCCGGGCAAACGTGAAGTTGACCCGAACAAAAAAAAATTTTATTTTGAGAAAACGGTTTGAGCCCTTATGTTAACTTATGAGGCACTAACTAGCACTAACAAAGCACTAACGATCTAGCATGATGCGATGCTGCCGGGCTATTTTATCCAGGCCAACTTCACAGACATGGGCATGTCAGAATAAAACCACACTTCATCTTAGAATAATAATAATACCCTTTGGATTATTATACGAACCCTTCACCTGTCTAAAGTTAATGGATGGAGTTTTTAGTGTAACCAGCAATTAGTTAACTCATTAATGAATAAACGAGCACAAAATTCCCAATACATTTTATTCTAATATGAAAAGATTAAACGATTATAATGAAACGCGTCCTCTACTTACTCTAATATAGTATAAACATTAACATACTATGCACGAGCCAACTCTAATCCACTACTATTAGATCAAACATAGCAACCTACCAGAAAATTGTATGCAATATTTGTTCACGACAGTAATTTACATATAATATCAAAAGCACACAAATATTATATAATACATAACAGTGCAGGTAACATATTTAATTAAATTCACGATTGCGAAGAATAATAGGAGCAACAAGAGTCCAACCATACAATGCAATACACAGCCAGCTCGAAATTGCTTTAAACCACATAGAGGGCGCATTAGCATTCAAAGTAGTTAGATCAGAATTTGGTCTAAAACAAAATCGTAAATATTCCGGGTTAGTAAAGTGTAAGACACATACTGATACCAATTGGTTAATGTCATCATCACATACAGAGTGGCCAAACCAAACATAACGTGGAAGAAACTCCAGTTATAAGCTACAGTCTCCTCCTCATTGTCCCATACCTTTTTATCACCAGATTCTCCACCGTCATTGCCTCCATCTTTACCTGCGATAGGTGTATAAGGTTCTTTTCATATAAATAAAATAAAAAATAAAGTTAAAAAAAAGTGCAGAAAATATATCCAAGCATTATGTTGAAAATCTGTAAAAATTGCACTTAAGAGCCATACCTTCGTGTGTTACAAGAGAGGCGTCAGCATTGCTCTTCACTGTAGTGAGAAAAAAGTTATTAGTTTTAATGTCGACAATGAAATAGAACAAACACTAACTACATAATGCTATGGATAGGAAAATAAAATAGGTACTATATACAAGACTAATAAAAGCAAACTTGCATAAGTCACTCACCTGCTCCAGTGTCCTTAGCCAAAATTTGATCAGACATAGTAATTTTAGATGAGCTGCTTGCTGTACGTAGAGACGAATATAAAATACAACCCATCCACACCACAAGACCGATAATGCTCTGTCCATCAAATCCCAATTGTGTAGACTTAGCTGTAGAGTTCGCGCCCACTATTCCCAACAGTCCAGGATTACAATCAGAGTCTAAAAAAATCATTACAGTATTTCATTCCACTACGTTTAATAAAAACCTGGTGAATTGGAGACCGTGGACCACGTCAGGTAGATGGTGTACAAAGAAACAATTGACGATTGCAACAGTCCAGAACGTGGCAGCTTTTCCTGCACTTTAGGCAAAACAGATACGATACTTATACCGATTGCCAAAATTAGGTTAATTGAAATGAAGAATTTATTCAAGCTACAATCATTGGCCTGCAAAACAAAAGTTAGCGCGCAACGGTAACTCGAGCGCGTTTTACCTTAGTGAAAAAGACGTAGAGCAGCACCACACCGGTAAGTGCGAGGGCGTAATTGAGAAACGTAACGCCCAAAAGTGCAATGTACCAGCCTCTCGATTCGGTCTCCTCGTAATTGCCCACCCACGCGTCGGCCCACGAGTGAGCGAAGTCAACAATCAAAATTAGTTGTATCAGTATGAAGAGAAAGCCGCCGATCAATCCGAAGTACATCCATACCGAACCAAAAGATGCTTCGGGAATGAAAAAGGCGCCAATTATTCCGCCAATAATTAGCAGATATTTTAATCCCCAAAAGCTAAAAGCGTTATATGCAATAAGTGTCATTAAAGTTTGTTACACAAAACCACTCCTGTTTTTTACTGATTTGAGTATGTTTCCAATGAAGAATCTTTCTGTAAAATCCTTTAAGTTCCTTAAAGGCTAATTGCGTAGCATGTTTTATTTAAATTAAAACCTTGGCAACATTGCCATAATAAACGATTCGTAACAGTATCCACCGCCAGTCTCTTTTCTTTTTAAAAGAAAAAACCGAAGAAAAAACACATAAGAAGTTATTTATTGTTGTTACATAGTTTAAACGACGGTTAATTTTTGGCGCCCAACATGGGGCACATAACATTAATTTTTGGCGCCCAACGTGGGACATGCAGCATTTTGATTTGGCGCCCTTGAGGTGGGTCATCTACAATGGGATTGACGACCCTACCGCAAGGGCATTTCGCGCAATTTTTGGAGGCGATAAAAGAATTCAAGGCAAATTTGATTGAAAAAATGGAGGCAATGAATAAGAATTTGAAAAGAAATGTACTTACACAATGCAAAAATGAACTGAATACGAAAATGGATTCACAGAATGTGGAATTAAAGGTGACAAGAACAGAGATACTTGCGGAGATGGAAAAACATGGGATTGAGATCAGACAGGAAATACTTAGCATTTCAGGGGGGTGGACCAGAAAGTGGTCAGTCCCGTTGTTGAAAAGAAAATGGAGAAGGGTAAATCACAGGAAGTGAAAATGAATGTTGATGTAGAATATGATAGTGGTTGAAGCCACCCTGCTGACAGCTGAAGGGGAACAGGTCATAGTGGTAGAGCAGTTTGTTGTTGATGTAAAAGTACCGGTTTTTAATACCAATGAAATGAGAGTCCTTTGCTAAAAAGCAAACTTGTTTAAATTGTTATATGTACAAGATATGTAAAATGTTACAAAAAAAAAAGGGAACGTAAGATTATGTACATTAGTCTGATTTCAAGTTACTGCAATTCCCTTGAAGTAATCAGTCGCAAGATTTTCGAG